ACCCCTCACAGAGGAGCAGGCATCCCCAATGATCTTAACCTGGAACATCCGCCCTTTCTGAAATCCATACTTGGCAATTGAAGCCATAAGGCTGGATTGCCAAAGAGATGGGCGTGTTTATTTGTCCTGATAGATGGAATATTGTTGGGCCAGGGAGACACTCAGGCAGCACAGCAAATTGATGTGCAAACGTGAGGGCCTGAGTTCAGGTCTCTACACCAGGTGGAGAGCTAGGCCTGTGTATCCAAAGACTGCAACTCGAGCACCATGCACAGCAGAGACAGGAGGATGGATGAACCTTGCTGCCAGCTAGCTTAGCTCCAGCTCCTGCAAGAGACCCTGTCTCAGGGAATAAGGCAGAGTGATGGAGCAGGACCCGGACATCCTCCTCTGGCCTCCGTAAGTGTACTCTCAGGAGTGCACACCTGCACGTCCTCACCCAACACCCTGCCACTCCCCTATCCCCACCACACACACCTCTACCTGGTGGTGTTGCTACAGAGCTGGGTGGCATCATCCATCTCAGGCAAGCAGCTGGCTCTGTGGCTGAGAACTTGTCCACCTGAGCCCTGTCTCCAGGTGTTTGATCCTCTTTAGCCTGTGGGGAGGGGCGGTTCACACAATCGCCCCCCTTTGTGCAGACCAGCAGGGCTGGAGGTCATGGACCTTGGGTTGGGGACCCCCCATGGGTTTGACAGCTGGGCAGGAAGGTGGGAGCCAGCAGGGGTGCGGAGGGAGGGTGCTACAGACAGAGAGTGGGTGTGGTGGGGAAGGACTTTGTGTAGAGACTGCACACAGTAGGAGAGAGACAGATGGTGCCAGAGGCCAAGTGGCGAGTGTGACCGACCGGGAGATTGTGTAAAGTCACAGCTCAGTGCTGGGTCTGGGAAGCTATGGAGGGGTAAGCAGGAGGGAGGTCTGTCCAGGCCTGTGGATGCGGAGAGCAGATTGGCTGCAGGCTGCTCAAGAACAGGAAGTGATCCGGCCCAGCGAAGGGCAGAAGTCACAGAAGTCAGCACCTCTCCCTTTACCCCTCCGGGGTCCAAATAAAGGAAATTCAAAATATACTTCCCTTCTGGGACTCGGCGAGGTGAATGGGGGGGCGGCATTAGCTGTTGTCAGGCCCACACTCCCTCTTACATAAGCCAGGAGTTAAAAATACCCGCTCTGCCTCATGCTGGCCGTAGGGAGCCCCCACAGAGATGAAAGCATCGTTGTTCTAGGTCTGGTGCCCTCAGATCCTGGGCTGTTGAGTAGCAAGGGCAAGTCCTGGGCCTTTTGGGGGCTTGGGTATCATGGTGAGCCTGCCGAGAGGTGGGTTCATCCGCCACCCCTCTGTACCTACCCTCAATCTGGGCACCAGCTGGACCCCACCCATGTCCCGTACCTTGGTCATCCCTCTGGTAGGCAGAGAACAGAAGGCCAGGCCAGACTCCCCATCCCAGGACTCAAGGTAGAATGGGTCTGGAGAGCCACTGAGGCAGGAGCATGGCTGCCCAACAAGGCTGCTGATGTCTGAGCATGGTCCCCACGTTGAATCCTGGTTGGGGCTTCAGTACAGAGCAGGGTGCAGCCAGGATTGCTGTGTTGACCTAGAAGAATGGAAGGATAGAGGAGGAAGCCCAGGAAGCAAAGAAAGGGGGAGGAAGGAGGGAGGAGGAGGGAAGAAATGGAGAGGGAAGAAAACCGGCAGCCAGCTTGCTCCAGTAGCTGCTCAAGGCAAGTCAGGCCCCTCACATTCCTGACCTCCCTGGTCCCTTTGCACGACTGCTCTCCATTTCTTAGACTCCGGGGTCTGGAAGTCCATGGGTGAGACACAGAGATACCCTACTGCACAGGAGCTGCCTGCCATTGTTGTTGGATCCACAGGAGAAGTAAGGCGACATCGGCATCTCCTGGCCTCACCGCAGGACTTCCTCCTTCGCTTCTGTGGCTGTTGTCTGGCTGTCTTGCTGTGGTCTGGTGCCTGAGACAGAAGCCTGTTTGAGTCTTTGTGGCTACAGTGAGCGAGTCCAACAGGCTCTGACCTCAGTGCCATGAGGCAAAGTCGTCAGCACTGATGACCCAGGGCAAGATCTGTTGCTGTCAGGGATTGGTCTTGTGAGGAAGGGCCTTGAGAGGTCTTGCAGGGGCCACCTAGAGCCAGCCTTGATCCTGGCTATGTGCATGAGGAATCTCTCTTGTCTCAGAAGTGCAGCCCAAACTCTCCTGGTCTCTCTTGACCAGTCAGCTATGGGCACCCACTCCTGGAATGCTGCTGTCCATGAGGTTCATGCAGGGTGTATAGAGACGATGGTACCCCTCCATCCTCACCTGTTTGTATGAGGCCTGCACTTACCCACAATAGCACTGTAGCACTTCTAGTAACAAATGGGGGAACGGGTACTGCAGGCAGGCCAGCAGCCGAGGTGTGGGGGTTCCCTCACCTATCAGGAACTCCAGGCTTGAAAGAAAGCCAATCTATGACATCTGCCAGCACTGGGTACCCAGGAGTCCCAGGTGTCCCTCAGCCCCAGGTGAGGGGGGACAGTGTTATCTCTCTGGATTGCTGACATGGAGGCCTGGGTGTGTTCATCACCTGAGGCTTGGGAACTTAGCATCTTCTTGGCTGGGACAGGCTGGGACCTGAACAACTTCTGTGGGATAGATTTGTCATCCATGAGTCGACAGTCTGAGGGCCACCATCCTAGGGTACCGTGGATCCCCCCCCCCCCCCCCCGTAATGGCACTGATGGTGGATGAGTACAGTTGAGCCTGCATCGTCAGAGAACAGCATTCTCTCCTCAAAGGACTGTGTGGACACCGGGCTGGGGTTGATGGCCTCACAAGGTCCTGCTGACACTGGGGAATTCTGTACCTATGATGTGTGGCATCAGGCCACCCCCTCACCCTCTCTGAGGCACAGGTGCTTCTGCCAAAATGGAAGAAGGGCAGCGCATTCTTGGTTTGTTGGGGATAGAATCAGATAATCCTGGACTCCACCCCAGGTGCAGCAACTGCCTGGCTCTGAGATCCAGATAGTTTAAGAAGCATCAGCCTAGGTATGGGAGCAGAGAGTGGCCAGAAGCAGAGGGTGGCCCGGGAATGGATTTACCCGAGCCTGACAGTCATATACGCTTAAGCAATACCTCTGTCATATCACCTTCCGGGGCCTGCAGTCAGACCTGGGCCTGGCTCTCTCCTGCCCTGAGCTCCTCCTGACTCGTCTCTGCTTTGATGAGACTCCGCTCCTCAGAGCCTCTGGTTTTCTGTGAAAGGGATGCAGGCAGGCTGCATGAATCTCTTAAGAGGATGACCCGCCCCTCATGGGACATTGCACTCTGGAATAATGTAACACGGGACAGGAAGCAGGGCTGCTGCTGGAGGTGAAGTGTGAGTGGCTCAGACAGCCAGGACTGCACTGCTGCAGTAAGCTGGGGCCTGCATGTGCTCAGGGACCTGGGGCCTCTGTCTGCCATCCTGAGGCGCGCTGAGCATGGGCCCACTGGCAAAATCCAAACTGTCCTGAGCTCGAAACCTCAGTTTCTTTTACAAGATGAGTGAAGAGTCCATGTCGTGGGTAGGAGGCAGACCACCTGACCAAGATTTAGGAAGTGAGAGGCTTCACAGGTTTCTGGGTGGCTCCTTTGTGACCTTCTCAGGGACCATTCCAAGGCCCCGAGAGAAAAAGCAGTAGAGCTATGCCACTCAGCAGTGGGACCACCCCTCCCGCGCCGCCCTGATTGATCAGAGTGCTGTTTGCTGCCTGGTGTCACTCGGGAGGCTCCATGGGCCACCATGCCAGGATATAACAGGTCCCAGAGAAGTGCTTGTCCATTGAACTGAGTGCGTGAGGGCAGAAGCCAAGGCAGGTTTCTCTCCACCTTACAGGTTCTGAAGCCCTGGAGTGGAGCCCTAAGTCATAGAGGCTTGTCTGATCCAGGGGGTGGGGCTTAGCATCCTGTTAGGGCCTGGTGGAAGACAACTCTTAATCCTAGGTACTGGGCGGGGTGGGTGGGCAGCTTCTGCAATGATGGGGATGAGCGGGTCCTAGAGGTCAGTATCTGGGTGTGCCTCCTTTGTCTTAGTTGGGCCCCCACCCCAATTCCTTCTTCTGCTTGTCTACTGATATGGTCTGGGAGCTCTACTACTGTGAGCACTTAACTTCACGGCACTTTACAGTTTACACAAATGCTTGGATGCAGTTCTAGGCTTGATCACTGTGGCATTGAGACCAGCGTCCCTGGATCATCCCATTTTCAGAGGACAGGACTGGAGTTCCTGTGTAGGGCTAGAACTGTATTCTCCAGGCAGGTTTCTGTGCCCATGTGGGCAACAGATGCCTGTCTTTAAAGTGCAGGGCTGGGAGGGTGAGGGATGTAGTAGGGTGGTCATAGGCTCCCCCCTTGCCAGCCTACCCCCAAGCCACCTCCTCTGAGCCCATTCTCTGTTCCTTAAGAGGGCACATGCTTCTGGGTGGGTGACCACACAGCGTTCTCACTCCACCGGCACTGATTCCTCCTCCATGCCGCCAGCAGAATTTCCTCCGTGTCCCCTGAGGTAGGCCATCCCACCCTCTGGACCTGGCTGCCCTTAGCTCTAGGGTGTGCTATGCGGTCTGTCTATTTCAGGAAGTTCTGAGTGTAGAGGAAGCCCACAGCACGTGTCTGTCCAGAGGACGAGGTAGTGTCCTCCACTCCTTTAGGATATCTGTGAAGTCCTGTCACCCTACGACGTGTTTTCAGGTGGGCTCTTAGCTCTCCTGGTGTCTGGTAATCTTTGTCCACCAGAGATGGGCAAACTCCAATGTCATTTTATCCTATTTTCTGCTTCTCGGGAGCAGCAGACTTAGCGGTGGTGTGGGTGTGGTGTGGTGGGCTTTTCTTATGCCGTTTTCACAGCCAAGCCTCTGCAACCATCTCCAGCCATGAAGGAGGGCTAGAGGCTACTTCTCATCACCCTCTGCCGTCACCCCTACCGGGTCCCCAGTGGTCACTAACTTGTGTCTTTTTTCTCCACAGCCCATGATCTCCCCACCAACAAGGCCTCAGCCACCCAGCCTGGCAGCCACCTGCAGTGCCTGACTGTCCACTGCACAGATGGTGACCCCAAGGCCCGCACCTCCGTACCCACGTGGCGGTCTCTGCACTCCGACATCTCCAACCGATTTGGGACATTTGTGGCCGCCCTGACTTGAGCCCCTGGGAGCCCCTGCCCTACCCACTCATGAGGGCCTCTGTGGCTGAGCAGACTCATGTTTTTGTCTAGGTTGGTACCTGCTTAGTGGCACTCGGAATGGAAAGGGTTCACTGAAAGGGGCTGGGGAAGGTGATAAAGAGAACCTCAAAAGTTTATTTTAAAGAAACTGGTGTGCCACGTTGTGACACCAGTACCAGTCCTCGGCCAACAGCAAACACTGGCTCAAGCCGTTTTCCTGCTAGAGAACCCCGTTTTCTGTACTTGGAGTGTGTTCTAGAAGGCCCTTGCCTTGTTTAAGCCCAGGCGGGGTGCACCTTTTACCCTCTTTTCTTTTTTATTCTCTTTTATTCTCCCCCTTCGCCTTTTCTTTCCCCTTTGCTTTGTTTATCACTAAGATGGAGATCTTGGAGAGTAGTGTTCTGGAATATTCCCGGGTGGAGGCTGCAGGGCCGCCACAGCATTCGCTAACTCCGTCACCAGTTAGGAGACAAGACACACGAGCAGCTCGAGGAACTTCCAGGGACTGGGCTTTCTCCACTGCCTCTCTGGCCCTTAGCCTTCAGCTAGCTTCTGTTTCTCCCACTGGGGACTGCTCTTTCGGTCCCTCCTGGGTTGGGTACTGGATGCTGGGATGCTGTGTCCAGCCACTTGGAGGAAGGAGTCTGCCAGGGTCACGAACTCCCTTCTCCTTTATTGACTTCACTGTTGCACACTCTGCCTTCTCTGGGCTGAGCAGGGTGGCCTTGTGACCCTCAGAGGGGACAGGGAAGAGGCAGTCAGTTGTCCTAGTGGCTTTCTGGCCCTGCTCTCCCACCTCCTCCTGGGAGTCCGTCCCTGGGAGGAGGGATGAAGGCAGCCACACTCCGGCTGAGCCACTCTCTTTGGTCCTGCAGTTCCCACAGGGCTGAGGGAAGGAGAATAGAAGGAGTGGCTTCATGATGTCCATTCCTGGGCCTCATGTTCCCCTCCTGCCCTTCTGATTCCATTTCATTCTGATTTAAAAGCAGAGCCCTGCCCAGTGTGTCCCTTTGAGAGGCAGTTCCTGCCCCCAAGCAGAGAGGAGCAGAGATCTCAGTGCTGATGTGGACACCTCAGGGTGTGATCTACACCTGACCGACCTCTGCGCCCACTGCTGTGGGGCTGTCCGTCCCTGGGAGGGTCCGACCAGAGCCAGCTCTAGTTCAGCTCAGCCTTTATCAGTGTGTCTTCCCAGTTGCTCCTTTCTGAGCCCCCACCCCAACTTGACAGATCCCCTTCCTTTTCTTAGCAAGAGGCCTGAAGCTCGGGGCTCTCCAGACACCCACATTGTTTGTGTCAAGGGACTTTTCAACTGTGGAGCCACTTGCCAAGAGCTGGCTCTCTCTCGTGTCCTCCTCCTCCTCTTGGCTGAGATCGGAGCCCCAGGGTCTGCACTTGTTGCCTGGGCAGTGTGGGGGGCTCAGAGGGCAGACAGAAACAGGAGACATGGGCTGCTGAGTAGGAAGGGCCCCCTGTTCTGTGCCCAAAGCATTGAGGGGATGGCTTCCCCTTCCACGGGCCACAGGAGCACCCTCCAGGTTTGGGTCCAGACAATACATTAACTCTCAGAGTTTGCAACGTCTAGAGGTCTGAGAGCCAGTTTTTTTCACTCCCAAACAAGAATGACTTCTCCTTCACTGCTTAAGGCTGGGGAACAAATGTCTTAACGTCCATCACAACACACTTCCCAGCATCAGTCCACGTGCGGCCGCCCGTGTGTGGCTCAGACCATCTCCAGCCCCCGGGGGTGTCCAGTGTTGTCATAGTCTCGCTCCCCAGGGTGAAACAGCCTTAAGCAAAAGGATGTCACATCATGAAATTTGGTTTAGTAGAACGAATAAAAGTGGAAGAAAACCACGCCCGAAGCGCAAAAGCCTGGGAACCCCGTAATCAGTACACAGCCAACTCCAGCAGAGAAGGAAATCGCTATTGCACATGTAAAATATGAACCCTTAACCCTGCGGTGCCGTGCGCGAGCCTGTAAGCTTTTTTGAGTCTTAAAGAAACCATTTCTGAAATGCTTGGTTGGAAGACAGTGACAATAGCTCATGAAACTGAGTGGTATTTTTCTTTCTTTTTTTAAAAAAATATGTAAAGTTGAGTCTTCCGTATTCACGCATACTGTATATACGTGTATATGTTTTGCTGAGCGGCTTAAATAACAATAAATACAATGTTAATGGTGTCTGGGTCATGTTTGTGGGTGGGATTTGCTTCTTTTCATAAGCTCCTTACTTTCTGCATATGTATTGTGTTTGGTGTGCCTGTGTGTTCACATGCGTGTGCACATGCACTTGGGGAAGCCTGGTATTGACGTCAGATGTCCTTCTTCAATCACTCAATTACGTACAGAGCCCGGCTCTCACCAGTTTGGCTTGTTGGGCTAGCCAGGTTGCTCTGAGAATCCCCATCTCTGGCGGCTCTCACACCTGTCTGCCTTACACATTAGTCATCCAACCTCCACTCACCCCCATGCAGCAAGTACTTCATTCTCTGATCCATCTCTCCAGCCCCCTGGCTTTTAATGCTCTCTGGAACACTGGAATGGAGGTTCATGTGCTATCCTGAGTGAGTATGTGCATGTGTGCACTGTGCACATGCATGTATACATGTGTGTGTGTGTGTGTTCTGAGTCAGGTTATCCCAGGGCCTCACAGCCGTGATGCTTCTCCCCTCTGGGCCTGACTACTTTTACAGGGCAGGCTGGGTGCTCACACCTCACAGACCCCAAGCTCCAACCCACCGGGTCTCATCAGGACTCCATAGTGACAACCAGAACACCCCCAGTTTTGCCTGATGTGGAAGGACTGCCCCAGTCAAGAACCCCTGTGGTGGGGTAGGGGTGTGGGAAACCCTGGAGGGTTGTGGGATGGTGACCCTTCTGGAGTCTTGTGTTCAGCTGTGTGACTGCTACAAGAATGTGGCTGCGCCTTGGGCATCTCCTTGCTCTCATTTGTGAAATGGTTCAGTGTGCAGAGGCCACGAGGAAGCATCCGGATGCACTGCAGTGGCAGGCATTGCTTTGGGGAGAACTGCTTGTCCCTGCGGTAAGCCGATCCCTGCTTTAGGACCTAGTGCAGCCTCCATCCATACAGAGTGAGGGAGTGCTGTGTGCATGTTCTCTTCTCGTAGGCAGTGATGATGGAGAGCTTTCCTAACATGTAGAGTGAAGGTGGGGGTGCATGCAGGGTGGTGGGAAGCAGGAAAGGAGCCTGGGCACCTGAGCATGTGGTCGCCCCAGTGTGCCCCAGGGCAGACCCTCTTTCCTTAGAGGGATGGGATTAGAAAAGGGACCTGTCAGGTTGTCAGCCTTGCACCTTTTCCCAAGCCAGCTTCTCAGCCTGTTGGTTTGTGGGTTTGTTAAACACAGTGGTGCCCCATGTCATATTTTAAATCTGGGCTATGGCTGGGGATGTAGGTCAGTGGTAGAGCACACATTTGTGTTCAATTCCAGCACTGAAAAGGAAAGCCAGAGTAAAAAGTTGGGGTATAATTTATATAAAGCAAAACACCCAGATCCTAAGTGTGTAATATGCTGTCTTCACAAGCACACCTGTGTAGCCCAGACTTCCTTCAGAATGAATGCCTTAGTTAGGGTTTCTATTGCTGTGAAGAGACACAGCATGACCACCGCAACTCTTATGAAGGAAAGTATTCAACTAAGGTGGCAGCTTACAGTTCCCAGGGCTTAGTCCATCGCCATCATGGTGGAGACATGCAGGCAGATGTGGCACTGGAGAGGGAGCTGCTATGTGTTGACATGCAGGCAACAGGGACTCACTAGGTGTGGCTTGAGCATATATGAGACCTCAAAGCCCGCCTCCACAGTGACACACTTCCTCCAGCCAGGCCACACCTCCCATTGGTGTCACTCCCTTTGGGGGCCATTTTCTTTCAAACCACCACAGTGAGTTCTAAAAAGTTCTTTCCTGACTACCTCCAGCACCAACACTGTGGCTTCTGTCACCATGGAGCAGCGGAGTCTGTTCTAGTTCTTTTAATGGCATGGAAATGGACAGGGACAGCCTGGGCTCATCCAAGTCTGCCTTCTCCTCTGTACAATGCTTTGAGGTCATTGCACCCACAATAAGTTTTTTTTTTATATTTATTGCTGAGTAGTATTTCACAGTGTTTTTAACAATAATATCCCATCTTAGTCACTGTTCTGTGAAGAGACCTCATGACCTAGGCAGCTTATAAAAGAATGAATTTAACTGGGGACTCGTTTAGAGTTTCAAAGGGTCAATTCATGACCATTATGGTGGGAACAGGGTACTGGAGCAGTAGCCGGGAGCTTACATTTAGATCCACAGGCAGAGAGAGTGAGGGAGCCTGACATGGACTTTGTAAAGCTCAGAGCCCACCACCTCCAGCAAAGCTGCACCTCCTAATCCTTCTCAAATAGTTTTACTTACTGGGGCTCGAAAATATGAATGTGAGGAGCCATTCTCCTTCAAACCACCACATTTCTCTGCCTAGCCCTATAGGTTTGCAGCCACAGAGTAATGCAAAAGGCATTTAGCCCAACTTCAAAAGTCTCCATAGTCTTTCACAGTCTCCAGACTGTTTAGAAGTTTAAAGCCTCTTCTGAGATTCAAGGCAACCTCTGAACTGTAGGTCCCCACATGCAGACACACCAGGGCTGGACTCCCACTAAGGAAGGAATGGAAGGAGTCTGTACAGGGAAGCATCTGCAGTCCTCAGGACTGCCTACACATGACCTGCTTAGAAAGCCTGCTTCTGTCTTTCCAAGAGCCTTGCGCAGGGCCCATGTGCTCTTGATCCAAGGTCTATAGTGTCCCTGTGCAGGGCTGCTCCTGTCCCCAGTTCTGGGCTGAGGGAGGCACAGATCTCCTGGCTGTGCACGCTACCGTCTCCTGGCTAACAGTCTGTGCGTACAAGCAGCCATTGTCTAGTCCAGGAAATCGGTCCTCCCAACCGACAGGAAGGGGTGGGGGCGGATCTACATGGGAATGTCTGCTTGAGAAGGAGAAATGATGTCACTTCAACCATAAAAAGGCAAATGCCTTGGAAGTACAGGCTTCTCTGCTCAGAAGAGTCTCTTCCAAGGGGCTTGTTTGTCACATGGCCTTGGGCAGTGGGTCCTGAAGGGTAAGGTGTCTCCCCTCTGGGATGGACAAGAGGAATTTTGTGTTTAGCCTTGTATGTTTTTTGGTGCTAGGGATGGAACCCAGGGCCTGTGTATGTGAGACAATGGCCCTTCCACAGGGCCACACCCCAGCTACTGTGATAATTTTTAATTCCCAGTGGAGCCCCTGACTGGTATCCTGTGCCTGTGCTAAGATCTTTAACCACATCTCTTTACTTGCTTGTCTCTCTTGTGTTAACACATCCAAGCCTCTATGGGCAACTACACTAGCATGCAGCTGTGGGAGAAGAAGTCAGCTTGGGCTCCCTTCTGCAGGAGGCCAGCACCTATGGGAGCTGGAAGAGCATGCTGGCACAACGTCCTGGAGATCATCCAGAGGGTGGGTGTGTCTGAAAAAGGAAGTCCTTGTGTAGGGTAAGAAGGCAGAGGGAAGTCTCAACACCATGTGAAGATATTTATGGTCCACTGTATGGGTGCCAGGAAGGGTGAGCAGGAGCAATGGTCTGGAAGAGAGGGAATACAGGCAGATGCAAGATCAAGTCCACCAGTGTCCTTGGTAAGCAATGGAGGTGAAGCTACCAGTGCCAGCTTGCCACAGTTGGCTTTGTGTATGGCAATGATGATACTGGTGATGGTAATGATAGTGGTGTTGATGGTGATGTTGATGAGGATGATGATTGCGATAGTGGTGGTAACGGTGGTGGTGTTGATGGCAGTGGTGGTGATGGTGATGATGGTGATTGTGATGGTGCTGGTAATGGTGATGGTGTGGTGATGTTGATCATGGTGATGATGATGATTGTGATGGTGTTGGTAATGGTGGTGTTGTTGATGGCAGTGGTGGTGATGGTGATTGTGATCGTGTTGGTAATGGTGGTGGTGTGATGATGTTGATCATGGTGATGATGATGATTGTGACAGTGGTGGTAATGATGATGGTGATGGTTGTGCTGGTTCATCTCAGTCATCAACCTGATTGGTCTAAAAAGCTTTGAAGATTACCAAAGCATACCTCTCCTCTACACATGTCTATGAGAATTTACTGAGGAGAAAGATCTTCCCTGAATGTGGGTGACAACTTCCCACAGGTTGAGATGAATGGACTCAAAGGGAACTGGGAAGGAAGCCCAGCATATGTTGCCTGCATTCCTGACTTTGCTCTCCTTTTTGGTTGCTATGACGTAAGTGTCTCCTCCACCATGCCCTCTGCCACCACAGACTGTACCCTCTGAAACCATGAGCTAAATGACCCCTTCCTCTCTGCAGTTCTTTTGCTCTCAGGTATTTTGTCATTGTATTGGGAAAATATCCGGCACAGAGTCGGTGGTGGTGACATTGTAAACTCCAGCATCAGGAACCTCACGTGGACACTCCACACCCTCCCCTGTGCCCGTTACTAGGCTCCTTTCCTACAGACCAGTGCCGTTAGCAACCCACATTTTCAGATGTGGAAACTAAAGCAGAGTGGAGCTTAGGCTGGGGTTGATATGACAGAGGGTGTCCTCATGCCCAGGGCACAAAGATGTCAGTGTGCAGCTTTGCTCAGCCTTTGTCCTGCCCTGACCACCTGGGCCAGGCTTTGGAGGTGATGGATACACCGTATTTAGGTCTTGCCATCTACTGGTGCCTGTGACTACACCCTGGTCCAAGGAGGAATGGGATTTCCACAACCCACAGCGCTCAGTCCTGAGTCCTGGCAGCCAAGTATGGGATAATTAGGTACATATAGATCCAGTTTCTCCCAGAACACACAGCCAGTGGAGCTGGATGAAGGCTGGAGGCCTTGCAGGACTGAAAACTCAGGACTAGCGCCTCCTGGATGGTCAGTGCTTCCCGGAACCAGCCAAAAGAGTGGTGGTGCTGGCATGTAGCTGCAGGCTAGCGGCAGGAAACAGGCGCCATGGCCTTTCCTTGAGTTTGCCCAGAGTATATGAGCTGAGGGAAGACGCTGGGGGACTCGACTTGGCTGGGTGTAAAGACCTTCAGGAGATCAGGTTTACATCGCATGAAAAGCAAAGCTGTTTTCAGTCTGTGCCGTGGACTCAGCTCAGCTGGCGGGTACTTGCCTAGCGAGT